GACTGGAATGCAGTACTCGAATTATTAGGCATATTTTGGGTGACTGGAGAATCGTATAATAGTCTTTCGTCATTCCTTGTGTGTGTGTGTGAGTGTGTGTGTGTGTGTGTGTGGTCATTCCTTATGTGTGTGTGTGTGTATATTACAATTGAATACAATCATAATTCATATAAAAAACTTAAGTAATTTTTTTCTAAAAAAATATTTTATATAATACTAAAAAATTCCTTTAAAAAAATTAGGGCATTTTAAGTCCAAATTTCCAAAGCTAAAGAGACATACACCCTCTCCACCAACACTATCAGTCTGCATTCTGCTGGACGTTCAATTTTTTTCTAAAAAAAATATTTTATATAATACTAAAAAATTCCCTTAAAAAAATTAGGGCATTTTAAGTCCAAATTTCCAAAGCTAAAGAGACATACACCCTCTCCACCAACACTATCAGTCTGCATTCTGCTGGACGTCTCTTCCTTTTAACAGCTATCAGTCTGCATTCTGCTGGACGTTCGAGCTCGATAGAGAAACAAGAATGTTTGGGACGGCGATAAGGTTCCTAGCGAAGAAACCGAAACCGAAGATGAAACCGATCGAGCTGAGTACGCCGCCGGAGCAGACTCAGACGATCACCCGAACCATCTTCGACGTCGTCAAGGAGCATGGGCCGCTAACCATTGCCGACACCTGGGAACAGGTCAAGGTCTCTTGTTATTCTTTCCTCTTTCTTCATCTCCTCTCATTTACCTTATTCGCGATTCCATTTCCGAGAGTTCTCAGCATGGGATGAAGAATACCTTTGAATTCACCTTAATTTATCATGCTTATAAAACTAGTTGCATAACCTGATAATGCAAAGGGTTTGGTTACTAGTTCTGTGGAATCAGATATTGAATGATGCAGATTATGTAATTTGGGATTCGTAGAAGATTATCAGATTATACTGTCCTTTTTCTTAATATTAAAAACAAAAAAATCTGATAAAAATCTTACAATGAACCAAAAAATGGCAGCAGAGGAAAGGAAGAGAAAGAAGACTGTCCCAGTGACAGAAAATCTATAACAAGAGGGAAACCCAAGGCTTAGATAAGAGCAAAAAATTCGGCATCAAAAACACAAGCATTGATAATGGGAAATTTACATACATCACACAATTCTTATGTGTTTACATATCTAACACCCAAAAGTTTGATTTTTACACTTCATAAGCCTACGCACGAAAATGTGTATTTCACTTTTAAGGAGTTAGTGATGGTGGTATTTTTAATGTGATGTTAAAGATTGTAATTTGATATGAAAGGTCAATAGAAGAAGAATAATCCTTGGGTTAAAATCAACCAATGATTCTTCGATATGGTTGGACTCATGTGGGTCTATCACAACTTGTTCATTAAATTTTTAATAGTTTTTCTCATCTGTCAATTGTGATTTAGTATTATCAATAGGTATTAAAGTAGAATTTGTGGATTTTTCCTTAGTTGCAATGACAAAGGTGAGATGATTAGGGTCGATTAGATGTTGAATTTGGCATGATTGAATATGGATTTGGGTGATTGTTGTAATTAGTTTATTTTTAGTAGATTCAACCTTGATACTAGCAAAATGTTTTTAGTTTTTCTTTGATCCGCTCATGATGCTCCTCTCCGCACTTAGAATTATACATTGGAAAAAAGAAATCTTGTGTTATGCTCTTGAAAATGAGGATGTAATGACTAATTAGAAGACCTACTTATGGAACTTGAATCATAACAACGACTTAGCACATTTTGGTATGATCTTAAATAGTTTTCTTTTGTATAGTAATAATTACTATAAGGCATCATTGGGATGAAGAATGTGGCAAGATTTCCATTTTTTTATTTCTAGCATCTTTTAAATGGTGGCTCTCAAATTTGGATGTTTTTGAGGATTTAGATGGCTGAATTTGGAAAAACATATTTTAGAAAGTTTTAGATCTCATTGAAACTATGAAAATCAAGTACTCGTGTGTAAACTTTATATTATAAATGACATAGATATAACCATTGTACCGAGATTTATCATTGAAAATAAAAAAAGCAAAATTTTGATGCAAGCAAATATATAGTTTTTCTTTTTAGTTTTGATGCATTTACAATGAAGTTGAAGACACAACTATATTTGTGAGTAAATGACCTAATGAAATGGTGATGTAAAGTGTTTTAATTTAGTTTTGATAATGGAATGACATATTAAGTGTTGTCGGGATGAGAATGCTTAGGTGAATGAGTGGCTTTACTCTTAGAGACAAAATGCGAAATGAATATATCCATGATAGAGTTGGTGTAGCTCCAGTGATGAACAAAATTAGAGAGAGTCGTCTTGGATGATTTGGTCACATTAAACTTCGACCACCTGATGATACAATTAGGAGCGTAGATGTTTTAGATTCGACTTATGTTAAGAAAGGCAGAGATAGACCTAGAAAGACTTGGGCATGTTGTATAAAAAATGATCTTAATTTATTAGAATTAAATGAAAACATGACACTCAATAGGACGTAATGGAGAAAAAAGATTCATGTAGAAGACCCCACTTAGTGGGATAAAGGCGTATTGTTGTTGTTGAATGGAATGATATGTTAGTTTTAGTAATTCTAACAAGACAATCTAAATGGAGAAATGTAACAAGAAGATGATTCCCAGGAATCTAACGTGCTATAATGCTAAATATGATGTATGAGAAATGTAATCTATTATATTATGAACGTAACTAGATTATTACACTAATCATTCTTAAATTACTTATGAGTGCACAATGATAAACATGTAATTAATATTCAGCATAACTACAATACTAAGAATGTGGCATGGGAACTACTCTTGATGTCTAATACCTATGAAGGCAACCAAGAAACAAAAGCTAAGGATAATCTAACATGTGATAGGTTTCAAAATACTAGTGGCATAGTGAAGATAAGTTGAAACCAGTCTTTACGGACATTTTGTGATTTCTAAGATCTCGGTCATTTCTTAGAAGTTCTTCTCTAAGTGTTCTAAACTTACATAATTAATCATTCATTTAGGAGTGGAAGCAAATTGCAAAAAAAAAAAAAAAGGAAAACTCAGGAATCATTTTTTCATTTAATAACCAAGTGCTTAATATTACAAGTGGTTTCCTATTTATAAGAATAGGAGGGCAAAACTAAAATGCACAAATATACCTCCAAATTCAAGCCTACCAGAATTATGTTTATACATATAATTATTATCATGTATATCATCATTATCATACCTATCATCGTTGCCAAATCTACCATCATTATCATACCTACCACCAAAAATAATAATATAAAGTTCATTCATAGGCTATAACATAACAAATAACTCAACACATATATACCCGAAATATAATATCCTGACATAAAGGCTTGATCCAAACATATATAAATAAAACAATAGCACCCACCATAAATAAAAACTCCCTTAAATAGGCTATATAGGTAAAACATAGTGGGTAAAAAATCGTGAAATTTTAAACTAGCTTCGAAATGCACTCTACATTAGCATGTCTTTCGACATAAGTTTATGATCCTTGATGTATTGTGGAACTTTAAACTTTATGATTTAGTTTTAAATTTTTTTACCATGTTTTAAATAATCTAAGGATGTATTAATTTTTTGTACTCCTTAGTTTCTACTTTATATTCATTTTATCATTGTTAATGAATGAATTCTTTTGAATTATCCTTTGACATTTTTATTTTTTAAATTTCTTAATCTTTTTTGTTCAAAGCGATGGTGTATAGATGAAGATGTTAATAGTAGAATTCAAGTTGGTTGGTTAAAGTGGAGGAATGCTTCGGGCCTTTTGTGGGATAGAAAAATACCGCTTAGACTGAAAGGAAAATTGTATAAGACGGCGGTGAGACCTGCAATGCTCTATGGCACTGAATGTTGGCCTTTAAAAGAGAAGCATAATACTAAGTTAAGTGTTGTCGAGATGATAATGATTAGGTGGATGAGTGGCTTTACACTTAGAGACAAAATGCGAAATGAATATATCCGTGATAGGGTTGGTGTAGCTCCTGTGACGGACAAAATTAGAGAAAGTTGTCTTAGATGGTTTGGTCATATTAAGCGTTGACCATCTGATGATCCGATTAGGAGAGTAGATGTTTTAGATTCGACTTATGTTAAGAAAGATAGAGGTAGACCTCGGAAGACTTGGGCTTATTGTATAAAAAATGATCTTAGTGATATATATGTAAATCTTTCTAGATTAATTATAGAATAAGGTATGTGCATAATTAGACAATTACTTAATAAATAATAAAATTTTATAAGATCCATCAGTTAAAAGAGTCACCAAGAGTCAACTCGGACTATGATACGCACCAGCCCTCCTCGGCGGAGCTGGTCCAAGGAGGACCGATCTGGACTGGCCATCCCAAGCCAAAGCAACGGGTGCTCGGTTTAAGCGGGATGTCCCCGTCGCACGATACAAGGCACGATTCCAACACTTAATTAGAAGTCAGGAAGCCGCTGCTCAAGCATATAAGGAAAGGAATTGAGAGAGATTTGAGAGGAAAAAAGTTTAGAAAAAATTTAGGAATTATTTATATAATTTATCTAATTTATATTTTTTTATGGATACCCAAAAAAATTAATATTTAATAATTTTGTACACCCTTAAAATTGAAATTTGTTTTGACCCCTTGAGATCTCTTAAGCCCAAAGTTTGATTTATGTTTATAACACTTGTCATAAAGTTATGCATGACAAAAAGCATATTTCACTAATCACTTGTACAAAAATATAGTGATAGCACTATTTTTGATGCAATAAATATCAAAATTTTAAGTGGTAGATATGTAATAGACAAGAATTGTGTTGTGGCATGTCAATGCCCCCAAACAAAAAATAAAACAATAAAAAATTAAAGGGCATCTATATACATACCACCTATTTCTTAGGTATTTACATATGTAACACCTAAACTTTCCTTTTTTACATTTATACCAATCAAATATTTTATATCACGTCAAAAATACCACTAGACTTTTAAGAAATGAAGTACAGATTAATATGGTTGATATGTAAAAACATTTGATTCTTCATGCCCAGCACTCATCTCAAGCTGATGCACAGATTTGATGCATATTTGAACTGAAAATAGACAGCAGAGTACCGACACAATGCATTTTCATACAATTGAACTAAAATTTCCTGGAAGCATTTCTCAATGTTGACATAATAGTATCCTCCCTAAGTTTAATAAACATATGAATTAAATCTTCTTGGTTCAAATCAGTTGTCAGCCTCCTGCTCTTTGCTCAAGCTCTCTCTACACTAGGCACAAGAGCAAATGTAGTCAGAACATTATTTATAAGGTATGATGTGGCCAATTCCATCTTAGGAGTTTTGTAATGCTCCAATTTAATCCCCGACTATTAAAAATTGATCCCAATTGGTCCGGAAGGACTAAATTGAGGCCAATTCTGTATAGTTGATAAACTAAATTGAGATCATTTTTGTGTCATGATTTCTGCACGATGGATCAAGTCAGCACCGCAAAATTTTGAGATTAAATTGACCGCATCCAAAGAATAATTGAATGAATATTTTTACACAAGCAGCTTAAAAAAATTACCAGTTTTCTTTTCAGCTCCTGGATGTATTGCTCCCTCTCCTTTGCGAAAAATTTCAATGACTTCCAAACCAAAAGACAAAAAAACAAAAAAGAAAACTCAATCAATCTTATATGAAGCTACCATTTAGTGGGGCATTTACATACATACCATTCAATTCCTATGTATTTACATATCTAACACCTAAACTTTACTTTTTTTGACATTTATAACCACCCAAATCTTTCATTATCACATAAAAATACCACCTTTAAGAAAATAAAATACACCTCTTCATGCCTTGGTAGGGTGCTACACATGTAAAAATTGAAGTTTAGGTGTAGATTATGTAAATACATAGGGGATTAAGTGGTATGTATGTAAATCTTCCTATTATAAAGACACTACAAAACATTAAAAATTTATTACCCCTCGTCTCTGAAGCTCAACTGATCTCTGAAGCGCCTCTCTTTTTGTTAGTAGATGCTCTGGTTTCAGCTCTAATGGCCGCCTGTAATTTCTCCCGCGGTAAAGAATAATGGCGTGCCGTATTCCTTGTTTTTCAAGTGCAACGACTATCCCACCACTCTCTATCTCAAGCAGCTTAGCTGTGTGAGTTATCTGTTCTGTTATCTTCTGCATTGTGATCACCTTCACAACTTCTCTGTGCTTCCAGTGCTGGTGAATGCTTGCAATCACACCATCATATATTCCTCTCCTTCCTGCATTCAATGTAGAATGTTTAGAATTTGTTTGACACAGTTACATAGAAATTAATTCATTTGATATTTTCAATATTAAATTTCATAGTATTATTAGAAAGTTGCTTGAAATTAATTCATCTTGGTGTAAAATGATTGTTTAGATGTGATAAAACTAGTATGTCAATAGTGCATTGATATGAGTTCAAGTGAACCCAAATCAAATACATAAAAAGGGCAGTAAACAGATCAAGTCGAGCTCGAGCCACCCTCAATGTGAGCTTGAGCTTGAGGTTCACTGATTAATCAAGTTTGAGTTCGAGCACAAACTTAATTCTATGAGTTTGAGCCAGCTTGTCCATAAAAGAGAGAGAATAAAGTTCATTCAAGCTAATATTATAATAAAATGATAAGTAGAATAGGCGATTAAGAGAGAAAATATAGAAATCACTTTATATAAAATATGAAATTTAAAATTTTAAGCAAGTGTGATAATTTAGAGATACTATATTGAATTTTATTATAGTTTGGGTGTATTTTGTATTAATATTTTTCTAAATGAGCCGGCTCACAAGCTAATGAGTCGAGTTGCTTTAGCTTGATTTGTTGGCTCATCTCGTGAGCACTTCTTGAGTTGGGCCCGAGCCGTCCCTAGTTGAAAACTTTACTGTATTACTATCGTTAAAACAAAGTCAAATTATTTTCTATTATTCAATATGAAAGAAACCTTTCATATTAAGCAAATCAAACCACATGCACTTTATGCATATAAACTAACCAATTGAGGTAAATAAAATGGAAAATTTACATACATACCATTCAATTCTCATGCATTTAAATATCTAACATCTGAACTTCAATTTTTGCGTATATGTCACTTTATCTATTCATAAAAGAATGTATTTTACTTTTTAAAAGTTAAAATAGTGATATTTTTATGTGATGTGAAAGATTTTTGTGGTATGAATGCAGAAACCAAAGTTCAGGCGTTAGATATGTAAATATATAAAAAGTATGTGGTATGTATGTAAATGCCTCAAACAAAATATGATTTCCAATATAGAGTCATGAAGCGCATACCTAGCAACAAAATTTTATCCATTTTCATGCCAATCTTTCTTAGTGACTCTCTTTCCTCTTCTGTAAGGAGTTCTCTGTCTGCAGAAAGTTCTGAAGGACTCCAAGAAGAACTAAGCTTTCTTAAAACCTTTTCTGATTTCCCTAACTTCACTTTCAGCTGAAGAAACAAAAACCAAATTCTTATTTATTCATATATCTGACACCAAAAACTTAACATTTACTTGCATGACACCTGAATCCTTAACATCACATCAAATATATCACTAATATTTGATTTTTCCAAACTGAAACACGCCCTTTCTTGCAAATTAAACTTTGAATTATTATGCTACTAAAGTGGCATACAAGGAGATATCAAAGTTAAGGTTTTTAAATATCTGAAGGGGCATTTAAACACATACCGCACAATTCCTATGTATTTACACATCTAACACACAAAAAAATACTACTATAACCAACTTTTAAAAGTGAGATACACTTTTTCATGCATTGGTAAAGTGCAATAAATATAAAAACCAAAATTCAGATACCAGATATAAAATTACATTAAATGCGTAAATTCGTCATGACTATGTGGTATATATGTAAATCCCTGAAATTATAAACAAAGTTTAGAGAAAAGCCTTACGATGAAGAGACCACGTTCGTGCTCTCGTAAAGTCTTCTTCAAATTTTCGATTTCAGCGGCGATTTTAAGCTCTCCCTTGCAGACCACATTGTTTACTGAACTGTAGTTGGCTCTAATGTGTTGAAACTCCCTGTAAGTTCCAAGGCTGCTAGTTTTTCTCTCTAACCTGATGCTTTCATGAAATAACTCTGCGGCTTTTGAACAAGCTTTTTCTTCTGATAAGTGTTGGGCTTGAACATGTGCTTCTCTCTCTAGAACTGAGTCAGCCACACTGGTTGGCAGGAAATCCTTCCCTCGATACAAAATAATATAGAACTTGTTTCGCAGTATCAGAACTCCTCCTGTTAGACGCTGCATTTATGAGTTTTACACAGCTTCTGAGAAATGGTAGTCTACAAATAACTAAAATTATCAATCTAGTTCCAAGACTCCTCTAATATGGGCTGTAATAGCCCTCGTGGGGACTGATTTGGCACTTCTATAAAGTCTGAGACTAAAATGATCCTATGTAAACAGTCAAAAGATTATTTTGGCACTTTTATTAAAATTTATTTTGACTCCATTTTTTGTTTTTTTTAATTATAAAGCAAAGATAGTGAACTGTGTTGCGGTGGGTAAGAAATATAAGGGCATTTGCATATATATACCACACAATTCTAATGAATTTACATATCTGACACTCAAATGTTTAATATCATGTCAAAAATATCACTATCACTTTTTGAAAATCAAATACACATTATCATGTATAAGTTTATGATATCAAAGAGGTATAAATGTAAATATGAATGTTTAGGTGTTAGATTTATAAATACGTAAGAGTTGTGTGGTATGTATGTAATTTTCCCAAAAATATAAAAATGTGCAGCTTTTTAGGTGCCATCATAATTTATATCTAGTTAAAAACATTCTATAACTAAATGTAGTGAGCATTTTTCATAATTTTTTTTTTCATGGGGCATTTATATGCATACCACCCAATTCCTATGTATTTACATATCTAACAACTAAACTTTGCTTGCTAAATTTTTACGGCCTAAATCATTCATATGACATCAAAAATATCACTATTTTAACTTTTAAAAAGTGAAATACATATTTCCATGCACAAGAAAAGTGGCATGTGTGCAAAAAATTGAAGTATGATGGGTGTTCGATAAGTAAATACATAGAAATTGAGAATCTTCCTAAAAAATTTGATTTAAACACTTGTAAGATCACTAAGTTGAAAAGATAATTGAACTTGCCTTTAGCTCCCATGCCATTTGCTGGCTATTGGTGTTTTGGATTCCAACCTTAATGGCAATTTTGGCAATAAGACTTCTCTCCCACAGCTTCATTATGGCACAAGCCAAGCCTTGAAGCTTTGTGTTCTTACCTTCACAACACAGAAGAAAGAAAAATCATATAAAAATGGTTTGAAGTCTTTTTTCATAAAAAAAATTAGGGAAAATTACATATATACCACACAATTCTTAGGTATTTAGATATCTAGCACCTAAAATTTGATATTTAGGTTATAACAATTTGGTGTATTTCACTTATAATAAGTTTGCGGTATTGATATTTTTTATGTGATGTTAAAAGATTTGAGTGTTATATATGTATAGATAAAGGTTTAGGTGTCATATATGTAAATATCATAAGAATTGTATAGTTTATGTAGATGCCCCAAAAAATAAAATATCATTGGCAGCAACTAAAAATAAAAAGGAAAATTTACATACATACCAATGGCCAAGAAATAAACAACTAAAAATAAAAAGGAAAATTTACATACATACCCCACAATTCTTATGTATTTACATATCTAACACCTAAATTTATAAATTTACATTTATAGCACTTTAGTGTCATAAACCTATTGCATAAAAAGGTGTATTTCACCTTTAGAAAGTAAGTTAAAGTGGTATTTTTGACGTGATATTAAAGATTTGAGTACCGTTTTATGTAAATATGAAATTTTAAGGGGGTGTTTGGCTGCAAGTAGGATTTAGTAAATTCAACAACAACAATAACAACAACAAAGCCTTAATCCCACTACGTGGGGTCGGCTACATGAATCATTTTTCTTCATTGCGTCTTATTTAGTGTCATAAGTTCATTTAGTTCAAATAAATTAACATCATTTTTATACAATAAGCCCAAGTCTTCCTAGGTCTACCTCTACCTTTCTTAACATAAGTCGAATCTAAAACATCTACTCTCCTAATCGGATCATCGGATAGTCGACGCTTAATGTGACCAAACCATCTAAGACGAATTTCTCTAATTTTGTCCGTCACATGAGCTACACCAACCCTATCATAGATATATTCTTGTCGCATTATGTTTCTAAGTGTAAAGCCACTCATCCACCTAATCATTCCCATCTCGGCAACACTTAACTTAGTATTATGCTTCTCTTTTAAAGGTCAACATTCAGCGCCATAGAGCATTGCAGGTCTCACCACCCCCTTATAAAATTTTCCTTTCAGTCTAAGTGGTACTTTTCTATCACACGATAGGCCTGAAACATAATTCCTCCGCTTCAACCAACTAACTTGAATTCTATTATTAACATCCTCATCTATATCACCATCGCTTTGAACAACGGACCTGAGGTACCTAAATCGTTCACACCTTTTAATAATTTGATCACCCAAAGTCACACTTCTGTCACTAGAGCTATTACTACTAAAATTACATTCCATGTATTCAGTTTTAGTTCTACTTAAACGAAGGCCTTTAGACTCCAATGTAGACCTCCATAATTCAAGTTTTT